GTCATCAGGACCAACTGACTTTCCACTCTTCATCCTCTTCAGGGCTTTTCTAACTTCATCCTTTCTAACCTGATCTACCTTCTTCCTACTAGTCTCTGGTTTCTCGTTTCTACTTTCCCTTTAATTTTCCTCATTTAACAACTCCTCAGAGTGATTACCACATGATGTTTAAGTTTCTGTGAGGCAAATCTGCCTAAAAGTAAAAAACAAACAAACTCAAACACAAAAATCTAAAACAGACAGCTATGTTCAGTAAATCTTAACATTGCTGCTGGAGTGCAGCATCAGGGAAGTTGTTTTACAGGGTGCATTATGTTGTTATTTTTTGCACCTCTTCTGCTGTCGATCAATCTGTTTCTATCCCTCTAGGCCGTGCTTCAGAGCGTGGCGACAAATTCCTCCCAGAAAGTCTTGTCTTTCACCACAACCACCCTGGAAGATATCCTCAAGTCCTTCTCCGACATCAGCGTCATCCGTGTAGCCAGTGGTTACCTGCTGATGGTGAGTACAGAGCCATAAAATTAAATTATGAAATCAAATTTCCCACTTCCCACGAGGGAAGTTGAAAACATAGGAAATTTGATATAGTAGTGAATTAAAGGGGAGAGACAAGGATTAACTTGATCAACTTAGGTTAGTGCTCACCAGAGGATTTAAAATCGGACCACATCTTTTTACCTGTGGGGAACATAGACTGCAGATGCCATCAATTCCTAAAAAATGTGAGAGAGCAATTCAGTTAGTATGCAAGACCACACACACACAGTCAAGAGCATGAGAGAAAGACTATGTTGACGCCATTACACTTAAGCTTTTCGAGTGAAGAATCCTGGTGTATCCTGGCCTGGCCAGATGTGTCGACCAGGCACCAAATTTACTTTAAAGAGGAAGATGTCCGACTACGAATTGTCAACTTTCTATATTTCTGTTTTTGTCCAGCTGGCCTATGCATGTCTGACCATGCTGCGTTGGGACTGTGCTAAGTCTCAGGGGGCTGTAGGACTGGCCGGCGTCCTGCTAGTAACACTGTCTTTGGCTGCTGGTCTGGGCCTCTGTTCTCTCCTTGGCATCTCCTTCAATGCTGCAACCACGCAGGTATCTCACTGAAACCAACACAAAATAACACCACAGTGTTCGTCCAAGTATTTATTATTTTATTGGCACAATTTTTACCTAGGATGTCTGTCCTCACACAACCCATTCTGGGATTTGGGGACTAGGTCGTTTGAAACCCAGGACTTCCACTGCACCACTCTAGCCTCCTACACCACTTCACCTCTAATCCAACTAAATGATGTATGCTCTTTAGAGAGAAGTACATGTAAAATGACTTCATATTGATAACTTATATCCACATAGGCCATAAACATCTTAGCACCAGACCGAACACCCATAATCATCTGACTTATTTATAAAATAAATAATTGATTAACAGTTAAAGTCTCTTTGTTTTTGTCAATTATTCAGTTGAGGGCAAAGTAACATTTTTGTTAGCTAGTAAATCACCTTCCAATCCAGTCCACAACCTGATTCCAAAATAAACATCAAATGATAATTTTATATAAAAATTATTTGTATTTCATTTTAGTGTCCAGAAAGATTCTGGCCTTCCAACAAATATAGTCAATGATTCCTGACTTTGAATATTTGAAAACGTGAAGTTGCAGTTAAGGTGTACACCACATGACCTGTGTATATGGTTCAGGTTCTGCCCTTCTTGGCCTTGGGAGTCGGAGTAGATGATGTCTTCCTTCTCGCTCATGCCTTCAGTGAGACTGGACAAAACAAGCGGATCCCGTTCGAGGTGAGACAATTATCCATGATCTCAGCCTTCTTTCTTTACTGATCTTTACTGTGTTATCTCCATAGAGGCCTGTGTGAAAGCCTGTCCATGCATGTGATGTAGCATCAAACAGCCCATGTGACCTCACCGACAAATTCTCACAGACTCACATACACAGAAAGCATATCTAATATCCCAAAGTGTACCCTATTTTTTATATTAGAGTTGTATTTAACATCCTTAACTTATCATCATCGCTACTCATTAGATCTTTGGCACATTTTGATCACATTTGTTTAATATCAGACTCCAAAAGATTGATGTTGTATTTTAATATGAAAGTTATATACTGCTTTTTAGTGGTTTTTGGAAAAAAAAACAAGTTATAAACTGTAGTGAAATGTTTGGCAGAGAACAAAAAAGAATGCTTGCAGAAGAAACATTTTTACCGCATAGTGTTAGACAACCATAGAGAAGATTAAAATTAAATAGAAAATTATCTTAACTAGAGTAGCAACATAAATATGCATGTTTGCATGTATGTATGTGTATTTGTTTGAAGAGAGGAATAACTTTCCATCTCCAGAGGGAAGACTCCTTGTAGACAGACCCAGGTGGATTATCCAAGTTCTTCCGGGTGTCAAGAAACATTTCATCATTATCAGTCATATCAGTATTATGATAATTGTACATAATATCAACTATTACACATGTGCCTTTGGGTAAAATATAATACAAAAGAGTTCTGTTTCATCACATTTGCTTTCATCTGCTTGCCTCTGTGTGTTTGTGTACATCTCTGTCAGGATCGTACAGGAGAGTGTCTGAAGAGGACCGGGGCCAGTGTGGCTCTTACCTCCATCAGTAATGTCACAGCATTCTTCATGGCAGCACTCATCCCCATCCCGGCGCTCAGAGCCTTTTCTTTACAGGTAAACTCGGTAATTAATATGTTTATGTGGGTATACTGTATTTATGAGTGTGTGAAAGAAAGAGAGAGAGAGAGAGTTCAGCTGTGTCATTCCTTTTTCTCTTTCCTCAGACCATAGTTTTATTGATTTCACCATCAAACTGAAAGTGTATGTGTGTTTTGTTAAACCCATGCAGTCCTCCCCCTCACTCTATTTAGTGGTGGGCTCGGTGTCTGTCCAGATTGTAGCTATGTCCAGGTAACTGAATCCTTGTGTGTGTGTGTACTTGCATATGCTCATGGATATACCTATGTAAGCATGGAGAGCTGAAATATCTGTGTGGGAGGTTTGTAAAGCAATGGCCAAGCTGTTGGTTTGTCTTTGTGTTTGTGTGTGTGTGCATGTGCGAATTTGTGCGTGTAAGTGAGGGGGTCTAGTGGGTAGTTTTGACTTTACTGACACTGTCAGTAATTATAGACGTCATCAAAACAGTGAAAACTGTGACAGACTGAGCAAGAAGTTGGTTAGTCTGACTCATTACTTCCAATAATCACCTTCATGTTAATTTACTGAGATTGTGAGAGTGACACAATGATAATTGTAGGAAGAAACACCTATAAAAAGACTGATTTAAAGTATGTATTTCACAAAAATGGATGGATATTGATTTTGTTTTTTGTTAAAGTGCTAGCTATTAGGAAACCACCTATCAAAGAGTAATATATCTTGAGAATTTTATCGTACAATTTACCAGTTATATGTTGGACGTGAGATACATGTTTTGCACTCTGGTTATGCTGTTATTTAAGGACAGACTCATTTTACATTACATTACAATACAGCACATTACATTTAGTAATGCAAATTACATCTTGATTCAAGCTACAGTAAATACACAAAATACAAAAAATACATAAAAAGAATAATAAAAAGAATAAGTACAGTCATTGTCATAGTAGGTCATAGAGTAAGAAGAATAGTATGTCATAAAAATGTGTCATAAGGATAGTAGGTCATAGAGTGAGAAGAGGTGCATGTTAGATGCTAGTGGGTTTGTTAGGATAGGAGAATTTAGTCCTACAAAGTCCTAAATTGTAACTTATGAATATGTTGAATTATGTTTGAAACCTGATGCTATTACTCAATCTGTAATACAATCCTAATGTGCCAAGTCAACCTTTATACATTTCCCAAATATTAGGTACCGTATTTTCCGCACTATAAGGCGCACTTAAAAACCTGTAATTTTCTAAAAAAAAAAAAAAAAAACCCGGTATTAGTTCTGGTTGCGCTTACTGAGCTCGAACCGGTTTTATAAAGCCAAACCACAGAGCGCATCACACATGTTGGCATACAATGACATTTAACTCTGTTATCACATTTAAAAGATGCTCAACAACAATCGTTACAATATGGTTGTATAAACCAAATCTGCGCAACGTCCCGTCGTGCCTCCTAACACCCGGAGACTCTGAGTTGTGTTTTTGAATTGTCGATGTATGGTGCGATGCAGGACGACTCAGACGCATGGCTGTCGATTTTTGTGTGGTCAAGAACTCTTTTTATATCTCCTTTTTTATCGACACAGAAAAAACACTACCTCTGCAAAACAACTTCCGCACGGAAGAGCTTAGAGACAACAATACGGTGACCATCCAGAACAAAAATAGTGACAACCGCCTGACTCTGGAGGGGCGAAGAACAACAACAGCGTCCCCCAGTGTCCTACTTAGCTCACTACCTTTTTCCACAAATCTCCGTACCTATTGATCTGCGACTCCATGCTCACCCATCTCACCGATATTGTCAAAACCGAAGTGAAGCAAACTAATTCGGGTCTTGCCATCATTGCGGGTGGATTAACCACAGAAATCCAACCGTTAAATATTGGTGTTAACAGGGCGTTTAAAGTTAAATTGCGAGCTGTGTGGGAGCATTGGATAACAGAAGGCGAACACACATTCACCAAGACAGGGAGGCTACGCCACTATCTGCCAATGGATCGTGGATGTCTGGGCTAAGGTATCAGTCTCAAATGTCGGTCGTGCTTTCAAGAAGGCCGGAATCATCACTGAACAACTAATTAACAGCAACGAAATTGACTTGGATATTGACGAGAGGGATCCGGACATGCTTGATTGTTCCGCTTTATTGTTTCGCTGAGTGTTTTGTTCGCCTAATGTATGACAATAGACCCGTTCATTGATAGTTCCTTATGGTCCGAAAAATACGGTACTTGAAAGTTTTTTACACACCACAGGTTTTCTACAACCTTAAATTACACACCCGATAACTCCTTGACACACTAGTCGTCAGGTTACTAATGATCTTATATCACTTACAGTGATATAAGAATATTTTAACATAATTTCTACTTAATGAGATTAGTGGTTAAACCTTATGCGGTGTTGACTGTGATAAACATAGACATTGTCTATTGAACCGAAAGCCGCCCTGCCAGTTGAGAAACTTTAGGATGTTTTTTTTTATATTTTGGGTACGGTAAGGCTAAATGGTATATTGTTATTGTGCATATGCCCCAAATCTTTAGCAGTAGCAGTTATTTTTAAGTGGAGCTGTACTACCGCTTTAAGGACCGGTTTTCTGTGACTATAAGCTACTTTATAGCATCTCCTAGGCTAACTATGCAACTAACTATCACATTTACGATTGATTAATCTGGTGTTTTTGTTGTTTAATGTTTAACCTGGCAGAAAGATGTTGAGGAATTATTAAAACCTCAAAGTAACAACATCCTCATATGTCCTCTTGTATCTGTAAACCAGTAATGCCTTGTTTACTGTCATTTAAAAAGGCCTAAGGTTATGGAACAGTATTATTTATACACTTCATTATTTATGTAAATTAGTTTGCAAAACCTTGTGATGAATTCATTTGTTGAGTATGATCTATTAGGTTGTCAAAGTCTTAAAATTCTGAGACTGTTTCACACACACGCGCACGTTCAGACACTGTCACCAGAGTGAGTACAATATTAGCATGTGTGCAGAGATGGCTGTAGTACAGCAAATCTGTCAAACGTGATCCATGTATCCCATGTGTAAACACAAACACACTTTTGGATCTAAGCACACACAAATGCGTAACACACGTGCATAGCACACATACTTTGCACTTGTGGTTTTGTGACCGGTGGAGAGCAGACTTGCAGTGAGGTAGACTGATCTTTTATTACAGACATACTCACACACAGGCAGACACACACTAGTGTAACAAGCTGTGACATATCTGTCTCATATCAATGCTGAGATATGTGTGAGTGTCTCTTTATCGCCATTAAAAACTTCCCCTTAAATCCTCCCCCCAACTATTTTTCTCACCTACACTATGTTCTCTTTTTCTTCTTTCCATCCATAAAATCTTCAGATAATCGTCCAGATAATGACACAAAAGACACACAGGAAGACACACATTCATGCGCAGCGGACAGATGTGATGATAAATCTTTCCACTCTGGGGTCAGCTGGGTGTCGGTATCCATGTGTGTGTCTGTGTGTGTGCGTTCTCATACTGTATCAGTCTGCATATTAGTGGGCCAGCTAAGAATTAATTGTTCTTACTCTACTTGGAGGTTTCCTCTGTCCTCATCTCTCCTTTTCTCTCACAATGTTCCCCTTTACTGAATAGTGAGCTGTGGAATGAAGGAGGGTGAAGATGTTTGTGTGTGTCTGGTTGGAGCTAAGGTGTGGTTCAAATAGGAGGCTGTACAAATGCTGGCAGCAGATAGTATGTATGTACAGTATGTACATTTGTTTGGTGTGTGTGTGTGTGTGTGAGAGAGAGGGGGGGGTGGGAGAGGGGTGTTGTCTGTGCAGCCACAACGTCTGCTCATCACCTCAGGTCCCGTGGGCCTCTGACTCCTTGGGTGGTCTAGCAAACACAGACGGGATTGTGTGTCTCTATATGACTGACTGTGTGAGTATGTGTGTGTCTGTGTGTGTAGTGGTCTGGCAACCACCTAAGATACAGATTGTACTCTGGGAAGGCCCCCAAGCTAAACTCAGCCTCTATCCTCAGCTCCATTGCACCACCGTCAAATACTAAACCACAACTGTACTGGCTTCTATTACACATACACAAACATGCATGCACGCACACTGATAGACTTAGGCTTTCTTTATTGTGATTGCACAGAAACACAAGATAACAGTGAGTCTGGCAATGAAATGTTGTTGCTTGGCAACCAGAGTACACAGTACAAAGTACACAGCTTGTAGGCCACGAGTAATAACGTGAATTATGTCTACATACATATGTATATAGGTAGTGCAAAACAGACATTGTGCTAAATATAAACTAATAAATATACATGTGAATAGTTCAGTTCAAAAGTGTGTTGAGATACACTATAAGATAAATATAAATATAAACAGTATGGAATGAATAATGTAACAGGATGGAACAAAAATAAATATAGACAGTATACAATATGGTACAGTAGTATGAACTAATGGTAAATATGCATGTAAAAGTGTGTTGAGGTTAACTACAAGGTACATATAAATATCAATATAAACAGTATGGAAGTGACAAAAGTAACATGGTGGGATAAATATAAATATAAACAGTATGGAGTGATAAATGTAAACAGGAATAAATAGTAATAGTGCTGGAGCTGATTCACTGAAATTGAACAGGAAATATT